ACACTATACCCATAAACCTTCAGAATTTAATTTCTGTATTTCTTGAAATGCACAAAAGCAAACACAGCAATAGCACATGGAAAAAAATCTAGAAGTTGACTAAATACCAGGGACTCTAGGGTATTATAAACAATGTACTATTTCATATTATCAGGGACTTTTAAAAACAAACTAAACATGGGCTGGGGATATGGGCAAAGTGCTTGCCTCACAAACATGAAGACGAGTTCAGACACCCAAACCTCATGCAAAGCTGAGTGTGGTAGGATGCATCTGCAATCTTGTATCGCTCTTGTTGTAAGATGTAAGATAAAGGAGCTTTCCCAGAAGTTCATGGGCCATCTATCCTGACAGATGCAGAAATGAACAACAAAGAGACTCTCTTAAATAAGATGGAAGGCAAAGCTGTCTTCTGACCACATGTGAGCCATAGTTCACATATGTTCTCCCACATAATGCACACACAACATATACACAGAGACATGCATATGTATATATCATACACCCCAGAATATCTCCTCAAACTAAATGTACTAATACTGTGGAAGTACACACTCTGGAGTGATGAGGTTGGAAAACCGAGTTTCCACATGGGAAGGAAAAAACAGGAATTGGGTCTCTACAAGACATTATGCACACAGTCAAGTGTAGATTAGCAAAGAATTGAAAATAAAAACAAGAGCTGAAAGCATTAATTACAAAACAGAATTTCATGGCTTTATTATGCATTGAGAGGCACACAACTTCATTCTGTAATTATTTAATTTTAAGCATTTTCCAAGTACTCTGTTGATTTGAAGGATCCACACATACTCAGAATCAGACTATAAATCTTATCAATTTGTAGAGAGAGTCAGAACATAAAATGTGGAGTATGTAAAATAACGAATCAAAAAGGGAGTGGGTAATTAGAAGCTATTTTTAGGGATTCTGACTTTAAGCAATCTGTAGGCTGTCATTCTGTTCTAATAACAGTGTCATTTGACTTACAGAAGCTTTTCAGAGTTAGAATAGGAAAGTATCATCTCTGTTAGATAGTTGTATAAGATATGTATCCTTTCAATAATCCTGAGAATTAAATTCTATTTTGTTAATTATGCAGAAAAAGAAACAGACTTATAAGAGACTAGACAAACTTGGATTGGGACTCAAATATAAAAGACTCCCCACAAAACACAATGGTGCTGGAATACATACCCTTAGTGGCTTTGGCTTCCTCTAATTCTATATTCCTGTACATTTAAATTGATCAATATGACTTCAAGAGAGCTAATAATTGTGGCCAGAAAAATCTCTTCTTATGGACTAATGAACTAACTGCTCATTTCAAGATTACTAACTATTAAGGAGGGTATTAAATAATATGAATCAGAAGCATATCAAGTAGTTGTAGCTAATTATTATTTTCATTTGGACATGCCTTCACATGGTGAAGCATATTAATTTTTCCACTTCAGTAATGCTGATGATTAAATAGCTTAGTATAGTCAAAGCTACTTTGGTACCTAAGGGAAAAATATATTTTATATAAAAATAAAACAAAAACTATTATATAAGAATAGAGAACAAACAAACAGAAGGAAAAGAGCCCAACAGAAGCACAAGAATTAGAGACCTATGTAGCTGCCCAGCAGCCATAGATGAACTGGGTTCACCTGAAAGGAGGGCTGGAAATGAAAAAGAGACAGAGGGGCGAGAGATGTATGAAGCCAAGACAAGGTTCTGATCAAGGCTCAGAGTTTAATATTCAGCACTGCATTTATATAGGGGAAAGCCCACAGAACCCATGAATTGTTTCAGCTGGATTATGTGGCAAGGCAAGCTCAGCGGGCAGTTTACTCTTCTAAGTTTCTGTAGCAAGTTGTACATGCAGCCAGGATATTCACACATTCAGGAATCCCATAAATACACTAAACTAGAAGCCACAATATATACACAGAAGACTTGATGCACCCCCTTGCAGCCCCTTTGCATGATGCCTCCGTCTTTGCAAGTTCATATGAGCTTTGATCATACTGATTTGGAGGGCCTTGTTTTCTTGGTGTCCTCTAGCTCTTCCAGTCTTTCTGCCTCCTCTTCCACAAAATTCCCTAAGCCCCGAGGGGAGGGATTTGATGGAGACATCCCATTTAGGACTGAGAGTTCCAAGGCTCTCATTCTTTGCGTAATGTCTGGCTGTGGGTCTCTGTACTTGTTCCCATCTGATGCAGGAAGAAACTTCTCTGATGACGGCTGAGCAAGGCACTGATATGTAAGTAAAGCCTTTATTGATTTGTTTTTGGCTGTGTGTGTGTGTGTGTTTTGTGTTTTGTTTGTTTTTAAAACAGTAGCATTGAGTTTTACCCTAGGTCTCTGGGCTATCTAGTCTCAAGTCTTTGGTAACCAAAGCAGTGTCAGGTATGGGTTCCATCTTGTGGAGTGGGCCTTAAGTCAGATTAGATATTAGATGGTTGCTCCCACAGGTTTTGTGCCACCATTGCCCTAGTGCATCTTGTAGGCAGGACACCACTGTAGATCAAAGAGTTCATGTTTATATTTCTTTTAGTAGTGTGCAGGGTTGTTGGTTACATTTCTCCTTTGGTAGTGTGCAGAGTACCTTTCTGTACCGAAAACACTAGAACATTTGAGTGATGAAGGCTCCAGGTAGGCACCAACTCGAGTTCTCCATGTTCAGTGAGTTGTGTAGGTATTGTCTTCAGCAGAGGGGTTTTGTCATCAGTTTGTGGAGAGCAACCTATATAGTCTTGGCCACAGCTTGGGTTGTTTGGGGATTTCCATGGGACCCCTTTGTCCAACAACTCACTTAGATTTAACATAATCTTGAAACTGGAAGCTTCATTTGGTCACAAGAGAGGTTCAGTTGGGGCTCTGTCTCCCACATTACTTGGTGATTCGATTTAGATCTCCTTCATATATGTATATATTTTAAGAAGTTTCTACTATATTAGTTTTCCACACTACCCCACAAATGGCCCTTAATTAGAACTTTCTCTCCCCACATTCCCTCCTACATCCCCTCTCCTACTCCTCCCCACTTGATCCTCTAATTCCAGCTTCTAGATCCATCTATAACTATTAATTTTATTTTCCTTTCCTAATGAGATCTATCTGTATCCCCCTAGTCCCTTACTCTGTAAGTAAACTCTGTGGTTCTATGAATAGTGGCTTGGTTGCCATTAATTTAGCAGCTAATATCCACATATAACTAAATATGTATTGTATTTGTCTTTCTAGGTCTGAGATACCTCACACAGAATGATTTTTTTCCTAGATCCATCAATTTACCTGCGAATTTCATGATTTATTTTTTAAAAAACTGAGTAATAATCCACTGTATGAATGTATCATATTTTATTTACCCAATCTTATATTGAGGGACATCACTAGACTCTTTCCAATTTCTCACTATTACATATAGAGAAGCAATAAACATGGATGGGCAATTACCTCTGTGGGGTATCCTTTGGGTACATGCCAAGAAGTGTTATAGCTAGATCTTGAGGTAGATTTATTCCCAGCTCTCTGAGAAACTCTCATATTGATTTCCAAAGCAGTTGAACACGTTTTAATCCCACCATCAATGGAGGAGTGTTCCCCTTGCTCCATATCTTCACCAACATGAGCTGTCACTTAAATTTTTGATCTTAGCCATTCTGGAAAGTGTAAAATGGAGTTTTAGGGTTGTTTTGATTTGCATTTCTCTGATGACTAAGAATGTTGAACATTTAAGCATTTCTCAGCCATTTGAGTTTCCTCTAGTGAGAATTCTCTGTTTAGATCTGTACCATTGGATTGTCTGTTTCTTGATATCTTGGGTTTTTTTTTATTCTTTATATATTTTGAATATTAGCCATTGGATGGGCACATAACTTCTTAAATTGAAGAAGAATTAATTCATTCACATTGACCTTTTACTATAAAGGAAGAACAAGTGAGTAACAATTATAACAGAAAATAACTCAATATTATTAGAAGTTACAGAAAGGATGCAATCCGATATACTGACTCAGGCAAGTCTGTTCCCACCTTCCCACAAGTAACCAGTGCTTTTATGTATACCTGGGCAAATGTATGTGCACCAAATGTATGCAGGAGCCTGAGGAGGCTAGAAGAGGCATGGATCTCCTGGAACTGGAATTACAGATTGTTGTGAGCTACCATGTGGGTGCTGGGAACTGAACCTGCGTCCTATATAAGAGCGACAAGTGTTCTTAATTACTGGGTCATCTCTCCAGCTCAGGAAAGGGACTTTTAAGATAGGAAGACTAAGGAGAAAGCTATTCCTCTGGCAGGAAGTGTGGATTGAAGGAGGATGCAAGAGACAGGTACTATCCCACTTATCAATACAGAAGGAAATATGGGCCGTGGGCTAGTTTTGTATTCCTTGTCCTTGGATCATTGCCAAACTGAGAGCCTGTGAAGACTTGAAACAGAAAACCTGGTGGGTAATAGGCATGTAAGGATACAGCAATAGGGCGGTGTAATACCTCAACTGGGGGCTGGGGTTGAGCAGAAGTTAAGTCAGCCGCAAGAGCATGCGCACTGCTCCAGCCAATCAGAGAGGCATATGCGTCGGAAGGCGGGGCCTAACCAACTGTACGCTTTTTAACTGTGAGGAAAGAAGATTCTGAGAATGTGGTGGGAGCGTTAGGGGAAGGTAACACCCAAACGCTGTGGTAAAGAACCCTGTGGTAATTGAAGTGAGGCTAGGATTCAAGGCCAAGGTAAAGAACCTCGGGGTAGGGGTAATCCAAGTGAGGCTAGAGTTGATTCAAGGCCGTTGAGGGATGAGGTTGGGAGTTGGGAGGAGGTGAGAACCAGGCTAACCTGTGAAGTTATGTTCTGGAGTCTCACTTCAACCTGGGACTGGACGAGGCCCCCCGAGGGTGGTTGGGAAAGGGACCTGAGGGCTAAAGGTCTCGGGAGGACTGAGCAGGACAATGTGGAGGATGGTAGTTGAAGTGTGTACCTACAATTCATAACCCTTTGCCTGCCACTAGCTTTCATGGATTGCCAGGTACCCTGAGGTGCACCTAAAATCTATTGGTGAGTACATTTTCATACAGTGACAGTGTTTCTGACCAGATACTAACACCAAGTATCTGGAGAAAGGGGGTGGGACCCTGGCTTGTGTTGCTTGAGCAGTGAGAAGCAGAGGAGACTAAGGTTGGGGGTGGGGAGTAGGGTAACCCCCAATTTTACCCTTGGCATGGGAAGGATAGGACTGAGGGGCTGAAACTGGAGACACTTGCAGATTTGAGGGATTTTGTTTTGTTTGTTTTTATTTTTGTTTTTGATCCCTTCCTATTCCTTCAGCACAAGTAGAAAGGGACACTCAGGCCCAACTCTGTGGAAACCTGATACCTGTTCCTGTGGCTTTCATTTAACTATTCCTTGTATCTTTAATGTGCCTTTGCACGTACAGTGTTCATGGTTCCTGTCTAGCACAGGGAGACTACAATTATGGCATCCAAAATCAAGGGCAGACCTCCTAAACAACCAAAGGTGACTCCTGATCTACCATCTGACGATTTACAGCAGCTAGATGAAAATAACACAGGTAAAAACACCCAGGTGAAGGTGGGGGTTGGGGATGAAGGAGGAGGCACTAAGATTGTAGATCAGTTCCCTAACATGCAAGAAGCTCTAGGTTCAGTTCCCAGCACTGCATAAGACCACATGTGGTGGCCCAAGCCTCTAATCCTCAGGAGGTGGAATCAAGAAGATCAGAAGTCCAGGGTCATTTTCACCTACATGGCAATTTCAAGAACAGCCTAGACTATATGAGACCTTGTCACAAAACACAGAAACTCAGGATGCCTACAAGATAGTTCCTGCCCTGTCCCCAAAGTATAGTCTGATTCATTTAGGTGGAACACAGGTCATTTCTTAGGAATCATATGGCATTTCAAACATGAAAACTATTTTCAGAATGTGTTTGTGGGACTTATGGTTCCCAGGTGGTGTTCTTACCCTTTAAGGTCATGGAGCTTCTCCTGGCCTATGCCAACATGTTTCATAGTAAGGACATGGTTTACAATGATTTCAACCTGGAGGCCTTGTACACCATTGTCCCCAAGGTCTCCTTAATTGTATCTCACCTACACAGACATGATTCAGTTTATATGTGTTCTAAAACCTTTGATGTATACATCTAGCACAAACCCCTAGTGCAAACCACGTCATGTAGGATGATCCAAATGGGATACATAACTTGAAAGCTATTCCTTTTTTTTCTATTCAATGTAGGAAACAATCCGGCCCTTGAAACTGGTGGAGAAAGCAGTTCTTCCTGTGAAACAGTTGGACCAAAGCTAGGTGATATATTAAAGGAATTTTCTTTGTTGACAATGTACTTCAGAAAAGCACATTTCTGCTCTTGTAACACATATTCTGTGTAAATTCTGAGACAGAGGACACCTCTTCCCTCAAGAAACATGGTGTTTTATCTACATTGAATTGAAAGCCAGTAGGATTGCTTTCAGGCTAAAAATGCAGAAAATGATGGCAAAAATATCCTGATGTATCTTTAGGAGCCATTAGTAGTTTTAGAAAGTTGTTTGAAACTAAAGTGCTTTGATGCCAGGAAGTATTACTAATCAGTAGGTAATGGAAGTGCATTTCATAACTTGTTCTTGTATATTCCCTGTTACAGTGCTCTTTACTAATTCACTTTAGAGATTGTGATTGTGCATGTGAGGTGAGGAGTATTGTACTTACAAATGGTTGTGGTTTCTTTCTTTGTTTTGTTTTGCTTTCCTTTCCTTTTGAGATAGGGTCTTACCATGTAGCCCTAGCTGGTTTCTAACTCAGTGTCAGAACAGGCCGGCCTGTTGATTCACAGGGATCTATCTGCCTCTGCCCTGTAAGTGCAGGGTCAAATTAAAGACATGTACCAAAATGACCAAAAATGGTGGGATTTTGTTTATTTGTTTGTTTTGTTTCATTTATATACTGTGAAATCTTAGAAAAGTGGATGAAATTATCTATATTCCAGATTTTGTCACAAGATCTGTAAATTTTTTGAATTTTTTTAAATGTCAGTCATTATAAGTGCTTGTCTCATCTCTTTGTTGTGTAGTTTGGTGGTGAGGACCAAGGACTCTGAAACAGGTCACTACTGTTCATTTACATTGTATAAATAGCATGTATAATGCAGAGTTAAAGTCAAATGTTCATATGTGAGCACTGTATAATCAGAATTAGTCTGGCTCTAAGCTGCTATATCAGATGTTAGATTATCTGTGTTAAAGGTCAAACTCAGAAAAAGTCAGAACCAATTTAGAGTTTTTGATGTAATAGACCTCTGTTTATAAATTGTTGAGGATTTATGACAGGCTCTTAGTTGAGTAAGAAAGCACTTGCCCAGTATGCTCAAGGTCCTGGTTTCCATCCTCAGGATGGCAATAGAGTTATCCATAAGTCAGTTCATTTTGTTCCTTAAACTATTCAAACTCTATAGATTTCTGATACATTTTTCTAAAAACATCAACAACTACATTAAATACAGTATTTTATCTCCCCATGCAATAATCTCTGAACATTTGAAGACAATGTAAATGGAATGGTCTCACATTTTTCATAAATCAGCCCAACAGTTCTGCTTAATATGTTCTTGAACTGGAAGATACTTTGTACATTGATTAAATTTAGGCTTTAAATGATTTCTTACAGAGAAATCAAACAATACTTTTGAAAATATTTTTGTACATTTTGGAAAATCTCTTTACCTATGTTCTACATTTAAAGTACAAGTATCAATTTTTCAAATTACAATGGTAGCAGCTATAAATTTCCACTGACAAGGAGTGGAATACTCTTGATTTTTAAAAGGGTGGCTATATGTTGGCACCAAAGATTATTCCAACAGGAGTGCAGTAGTATTTGCCTTATTAATCGAACAATAAATATTTATAAGGATTTTCAATACAGGGCCTAGTAAGAAATCTCTCAATGAAAGAAAGAGAAGGTATGTGCTGAATGTAAGTAATACGGTCCACAACATTGAGTGGAACATTGACCACTTCTTGAAACTCCAGCATGAGCAAAGGTAAGGCTCTTGGCTTTCCTATTGCATACATTTCATAGTACTTGGGAATAAGCCAGTTGCTAAGGACTAGTTGATATTTTCTGTTTGATGGAACTTCTACTGAAAACTTCATATAGCTTGGGTTTTCTATAGAAAATAAACTCCTTTCAGCCTATACTGCCACATTATAACCAGAGTAAGCTGTATTGCTTAGCTGTCACTAAAGATGATGTTTTTGTCTTATCAATTTAATATATTTGAATTTATTCACCATAAAGAATTTGTGTGCCACCCTTGAATGTGGTGCGTGGGTTAACACTATCTCAAAACACATCCATATAGCAGATAATCATATGGAAAAAAAGAGATAAATCTTATAGAAGAATAATCTTTACATTTATGGAACAAACTTGACCCTTTAGTAAATTACAACTATGAAAAAATATGCAAAAAAATGCACTACCCTAAAGTGAGGAAGAGTGAGTAAGCCTTCCTCTGATGGTCATGGATATTCATCCCCACAGAACCAATTCTTCAGAAGGAAAAATAAAGGAGAAGCTGTGTTTGTCAAGAAGATGAATACTTGTGGAATGTTAGTCTAATACTAATTATAATTCTCCCTAAGTTTTATAAACCTAATGTATTTGAAGTGACTTCTTTCTAAGCCAACAGGAAACAGATACTGTTAGTGTAAAACCACATAATCCGCCTAATTTTCCATGTCCCTTTCAGAATATTTTAGATGCCCTTCCCCAGTCCTTTATCGGTAGCTTTAGTGAGGGCAAGTTAAGTCAGTCGTGCTTTGAATGAGTTTTCTTCATGTCGAGAAGGGATATCACAGTGTTCACCGTTGTCTTTTACAGGCAGACACTTTATCAGGACTATTCTCATCAGTTTTTGACTTTGGTTGTGATGTGGAATATAGATGTAGACCAAGTCAAGAAAAATGCGGAAAAACTCTCAGTGAGTATCAGGCTTAGGTTTGAAGGAGTCCATTGTGTCAGCATCAGAGGTAGCAGCAGAGGCCTCCTGGAGCAGGTCCAGAGGGA